GCGTGGTCTATAAAGGGACACGGAGGGAGGGCTGCCGCCTGTCTTCCAGACCCCGGCCCGAGCCGGGTGCGCCACTGACTGACAGACAGGGTACACTCCCACACACAAAGCATAAAATGTACGCATATCATACACAAGGACACAGTTGGTCGTACATTAGCCACGCTAACACACAAAATGAATACACAAACACTCACATTTGATGGTGAATATAGATACATGCATACCTACAAAGGGCACACCAGTTCCTATTTGGTATTAACTTATCACGCGAGGTCCAACGTGGGCGAATGGGCTCAACGCGAAGCGCGCTCACAGGAGCACCACATATAGATTGATTACGCAGTGCGCCCTGTAGATAGTAATACGATATATTCCGTGAATGTGCGCGCAAAGCCCGGCTAATAGGGAGCACTGTTCCTGGTTGGGAGCGAGATCGTTGGATGTCCGAGTCGGTCATATTTCGGCGAGGCCTCGCCACGCGTGTGTGCGTGCGTGTAACTCCGTTCTGTGTGTTGTTCCCGCCTGCTTGCATGAGTGTGCGCCACCGACGGGCGCAGTTGCGCGAAGGTACAAGCCGTGTTTTGTCGCGTGCGTGAGGCGCTCGTGCGCGCGCGACCGTCGCCGAGTAGCCGGGGAGTGGCAGCTGATCGTGTCTCCCCACTAGTCGCTTCCTCAGGTAACGAGCATGGCCCGGCCCGCAGCGGCCGCGGGGGAGGCGAGACCCGACACACATACACACACGCGCGAGCGCGCCCCGAGTGTTTCGTTTTGTTCCACGGGTCCTCTAGGGTTACGTTGTACCTGTATCTCAGATCAGTTCCATGCTGGGGGGTGGCGATCGGCGGCTAGGTTTGTCTCGCTGTCGGTAGAATGCGGTAGAGAGCGGTAGAACCCCACAGAGTCGACCCCCTCCACGACCGAATGTGTGAATGGTTCTGCGTGGGTGCATGTCCGTGTAAATACATGTGGATATTTTTGTAAAGTGTTCGGTAGCCGCGCCGTTGGTGTATTTACAGGGTGTTTAGTTATTTTCTTCGGCGATCACTCAGTGATCCAGTGTTTGAGCGGTGTGGACACCGTGTTAATTCTAAAATTAACTATATTTCGCTAGAAGACTGTTGTACCTAATGGCGGCGTTAATTATCGTGTACGCAAACATCGTCATTGTGCTGCTTTGTTAATTATTTTGTAGACACACGAAATACAAAACTGTACTGTCAGAGGTGTTTGACATGGTGCTGTAAACGGGAACTTATAAGATAGTGACGGTTTATGTGCTAAAGACGTGCTAAAGATAGTTACCTGAAAACGGTTTTTATTTGGAAACGATTGTATGCAGAAGTTCCAAAAGCATTGCAAAAAAAAAAACACGCCAAATGGACTGGAAACAATTTAAAATAAAACGACAGAAACGTCACGTTTCACAACTATTTCTATAGCACCTACGTCTCTACTCTAGTAACGGCTTGTCATCATCGTTCAATGGATTTTCAGTGTCGCCACCTACCGGTGACCGCCTGCCCGAGGTCAAGGCCACTGCAGTGGGCGGGGCCTGGCAGCGGGGCTCGGCCAGGATTGGTCGAGCCGTGGTGGAGACCGGGGCGGGTAGTTTGACGGCCGGGGGGCGGATGACGAGTGACCCGGACGGAGGGGGAGGCGGCGGCGGCAGCGGCGGGGGCGGCAGCGCCAGCAGGGGCTGTGACGGCAGCGGCGGAGGCGGCGGGGGTATCGGAGGGTAGGTGCAGATGAGAGTCGACGGGCCCAGCAGCGCCGACTCCTCGTCCACTGCTGCTGTGTCCGGCTGGCCGGGCCCGTGGACACGGACCGACCGGCGGATAGCCCGACAGAGAGCTAGGCCGCGCCAGAACACGAAACCCACCCCGGTCACTGAAACGGAGGACACAGACGGGTCATGCTCGGCCAAAACAATAGTTCTAACTCGTAATGGGTTCTAAAGAAATTTAACGCAAGATAAATAGCCAAGAATGATGAGACCAAGTTAACCCTATTAGTGGCAGGGGGGGGGGGGTGTTTTTATCCACCCCTCAGGTTTTTCGGGAATATCTCCGAAACCGCTGAAGCTACGATGCTGAAATTTTCTGACTTTTCCTAAAACTAAATTGGGCACATTCCCTGAAAATTTCAAGTTCATAACTTTACCAGGGGCGGCTCCAGAGCACTGGGAATTGGGGGGTCCTATTCGTGAAGCGAGTCATATGGGCGAAGATCACGATGCTGCACCAGTTTTACGAACAGTGAATGAAAGGTATCATGTGATAACATATACAGTTATTGTGCATCTTCTTTTGACACGTTTTTGCTATAATAGGCGGATCCAGGCGTCCAAAAAGGGGGGTTATGTTTTACCTCCCAACATAGGTGCCCTGACACCGCCTATGCATGACCAATACAATTGTAGTCGTTGTCTCATAAGAAAATTGTAACATAACAAGACCATTACCACCCTTTTTAGAAACAGTACCAACAAACACCTTATTTACTATACTTTTTGTGTACCCCCAATCTCAATGATCTGTATCTACCTATGCTTTTTGAAAATGCATATTTTTAGGATCCATGTGAATTCCTGGTTCATTCTCTATCGATCGGCAAAAGTTGCGTTAAGATTGGTTCAGAAACCTGGCCGTGATAAACAATCTAAAATGTATCTGCAATTTGCCCGTTTTTACCCCCCTCTACCCCCTATTGACATTTTTTAATTTTTATTTTTTAGAAATGTAGATCACGTTGAGCGAAATCGAATGCCGTTTGAATTTTGAAAATGGGCCCGTTAGATCTCGAGATATCAAGGGGGGGGTCGTAAACAGCCCCCCCCCCCCCTGCCACTAATAGGGGGTAGCCAGGAGCCTGCCACTAATAGGGTTAAACGCTCAGAGCAATTAGCTCAGCAAGCTTCCGTTTCGTTTATAAAAAAGAAGCCAGTATATTTCCTCAACAGGCAAAGGAAAGGACACGTTTCCATTTTCTCGACGGACCTGTACCCTCATAACAAAACACCGATGGAAAAACATAATATGAGCCCATGTCCTAATTTAAATAAAATCACATCAGGATTGGAGCATTGATTCATTCTTCAGCTAGGAAACGGACCAAATTTTCGATAGTTTTCAAACCATAACAAAATAGCGAGACCTCACTGGTCACGAGAAGAGCAGCTCCCTTATTCACTGACCTGAGAGAGCGAACGCCGCGTAGGCCACGAGCGCCAGAGCTGAGTCGGTCCGGGAATGCAGACGCACGGCTAGGAGGATAACGATGGCAGACGGGAGCAGCAGGACCATTGAGGTGACCGCGCAGAAGAAGAAAACGCGCTGCCGGAGGTCACGCCGCCGCTGGGGAGACAGCTACGAGAAAGAGAAAGAGGGGGGAGGTCGGAGAAAGTTTGTTTAGGTGAGCACATGTGACATGGCTTTTGAGCATGGAGAAGGGATGGAAGACGACATATGTAAGACAATATCCATCCAGAAGCAGGCCACGAATTCAGTTACGCACCAATTTTGGGGAGACGGGTATGGCACATACGCTTAGGTTTAGCGAGGTCATGGTCACCCTAAGCAGAATTACTGTTGAGGACCTACAGCTACATGAGCGTTCCAAGCAGGTATAAGAGAAATAACTGCTCACGCTAAGCCGGTGATCGCATTATACCTATAGCATGAGACAGGCTGTTCCATTGTAACGTTTACTGCTATGGTTGTTGCGAGCCCGGGGTTTGGTGAATAGAACGGTCGTCTTACCTCCAATTCAGATAACTCAGGAAGGTATGTTGTGAACAAGCTTCGATAGTTGACCAAATCATCGTCGAAATCTGACAGCCAATTACTGTCACCCATTTTCCCATCTAAATGTTATCACAGCACACCAAAATACCGACCAAATTGATCAAGGGATCGCAGTAAAGGACAACGTGTCAAGTAGAACGTCACCGAATAGTCGAATTGAATATTCCGCATCTTAGGTCACGCTGTCAGTTGCCAGATGTACCGTGTGGATAAGCGAAACACTCGATGATTTCATCAACCCAAATCTAATTTTGAGTTACAGTTATTTGTAAGTTTCTAATAAATAGATCTGAATGGATCCTGTCCTGTTTTATCATCAACACTTTTAATTGCGTTGCAAAATAGAAATTCAACCTTTTTATCAGGAGCTTTTCTGATGAAAGAGCTGCTTCATCGGGAGATTTGACTGGCTTCTAAATTTGCGTTTACGAATTACGCTACTTGAAAGTTCAATGCTGCGTCTGATATGTTGCTAGCTTATGCCTAAGGCAGTTTGAAAAGTCGACGTTGTCATAAAAATAATAGCGTTACATATAACAAGATGGCACGAAACGAAAAACAAACAAAAATGCTGTAGCTTGAATCCTACAAATATAATTTATAGTTTACTGATATAAACGTCTTCAAAATTGTATCAGCAACATTATCATAGTTAAATAATCCGAATCTAAGAGATGGGTGGCCTACGTCCTCACTCTTTTGAGTTCCGATGCCTAGATGACAACTGTTCAAAGTCCCAACACTAAACGCTCGATATGTAGTCCATCAATCAATGCAAAAATTTCGACATTTTTCTCACCAAAATAAAGTTGAGATAGATCAGGATATTTCTTGCGAGGAGTCGCACGGCGATCAGTTGTGCGGCTCCGTTCCGAATACCATACTGCGCGGGACTCGGCAGTGAAGCTAGTGCGCTGCGGCACAGCCTACCTTCAGGCGGTGTACACCAGTGACACCTAGCGGCAAAGTTATAAGTAGCCCCCGCACGGAGCTAGTGCGCTGCGGCACAGCTGCCTACCTTCGGGCGGTGTACACTAGTGACACCTCGCGGCGAAGTTATACGTAGCCTCTGTATACGTGCGTGCGGAGCCACGGGGTTGCTCCTGTTTTGTGTTTCTCGGACTATGATGAGTTTATTGGAGCGAGCGGAGCGAGCGTTCTAACGAGACCGTGCGACAGTAATAAGAAAAGAAATGGATATCAAAATTGTTGTATTTGCCAGTGAGCACCGACTATGTCTCGTCACATTGAAAATAGCGGTAAATCACTATGGTAAACAGGACACGTTGTACCCAAAGGCCAGTACCCACACTAATTGATGCGCCATGACATTGGACTAGCCCGACCGGTATCAGGCCCAAACAACACCCTCACAACCACCCCCGAAGTCCCCACATAAGCTATAACAAACGTCCATCATCACATTCCCGGAAAGCCTCAACAAGTGGCCGCCCATCGGCCCAGTCAGAACGACCGGCGCATCACGACAGCCAATCGGCGACAAGATAACACCTTCACCGTGCTCCTATTGGAGCAAGGTGTCTACTTCTTCTTGGCCCTTGCCGCCTGCGGCAGGACGACCTTCACACGGCCGGGGAAGTTACGGGTGACGTCTTCTAGTCGCACCGATTTGATCAGGTCCCGCTCGCGCGGCGTGGCGGCTTTGTCCGTGAGGAACGACTGGACGGCCGTCTTGGCCGCCTTGCCCTTCTTCCCTGCACTGGGAGTCAGCTTGACTTTGAACCTGCCGGCGGATGATGTGGTTACTTGGAAGGCTAAGGTCTTCACGTTGGTATGTAGCACTTGTGCAGCTAAGGGTTTGAGGTCCTCAAGGGCATGGACAAACACACACTGGGACGGGTAAGATGGGAGAGAAGTTGCAAACAAAAACACTACAAATGTCAAATGAATGAATGAGCTTTGATAAAACAAAATAGCACAAAACGGTAACTAAATATCAAAACTAACGAATAACCTGCCACTGAGTACCTTGTGACAATACGATGCAAAAACACCACAAATAAATATCACCCTTTTATGTCGGGGCCTTGAACCCGCTCCAAAAACTCGCTCGCTCCAGAGGCGCTACCTTGACAACAGCGATCCACATAGCTGGAATCGGAGTCACCTTCAGACTTTTTATCCATAACACACCAGCTTCAAAGGCACACAGGTCATTACCCAGCACAGTCAGGGGATGCGTTAAATCCTTTAGCGATTTATGTCTGCACCATCACTATGTAGCGAGGTCTGTGAGCCGTATGGCGGCTGAAAGAGGTGCGCGGTAATTGAGACAGACGCTGAGCACAGCCGAGCAGTTCTGACACAGATGGTCGAGCCGTAAAAAGCGCACAGCCAAGGATGGTTGTTAGGTTCACCTGGCCAGTTCCGGCCCGGGGAGACGAGAGCGCGGTCCGAGCCCGTCTGATGGATGGGTGACCCGGTCATTTCCCAGTTGTGCGAGGGGTGTGACGGGCAGACTAGGGCATAACGCGGAAACGTTACCCATCCGAGAGCACTTATCAGTTAGCAGTGAGAGACAGAACAGGCTACTAACAGCCAATTTGGATGGGATCGGGTAATACGACTGCGATTGAACCCGGTGGAGTGCATTCATAAAAAAAAAACATCACGGGAGCCCTTTCATGTTCAGTTTGTCAAATATCAAAGGAAAGAAGTTTTCAATTAGTTCATTACATTACATAATGGGTAACTTATGTTACCTTTAAGGTTCAATTTAAACCAGCAGAGTATATATGTAGTCAAACAGATGAAGGCTGCAGGTTTACTCTCCCTGGATACAGTAGCATTTAGTCAGACTCGGGTACTCGACATACCACTTCAATCAATGTTCAGTTACCGTACCTCAGTCGATGCTCTTTCACCGCAACCGCCACACATATTTCCAACTAGCGTCTGCGCTCAGACTCAACATCGACTCGTTGCCATCGGCTGGGGGAGGGGGTAACAGAGCGGGATGGCTAGGGTAGGACAGAGCGGAGTTGGCTGGGGTGGCGGCAGGGCACTCTATAAGGCGCTCAGAGTGGAATACACTCCTCAGGTAGATTACCCGCTGTAAAAGCCATTCTGGAGGGGGATAACCGATTAACCAACTTACTTGTATCCAAGAACGGTGGACCACGGCGCACAGACAGGTACGGCGTACAGGAGTTCGTCCTCTTCCACAGGAAGGCCGGTTAGCTCCTCCAGAATCTGACAGTCTTGTGGCACGGTCACCTATAATGTACAGCCATCCGTCAGATATAATAGTGGACAGAATCTGACAGTCTTGCGGCACGGTAACCTATGTAGAGACGGTGATCGGTCAGAACTGCAAAGCACAGGATCTGGCAGTTCTGTCGCATAGTCACCAGTGTTGAAGAACTCTACCACAAAATCTACTCACAGCGCGTTTTTTTCGTCGATAACATTTACTGCGTATATAGTAGATGCGTATATGATGAATAAACAATGCATACTCCATGCATTCAACTAAAGACACATGAAGACAAAAGTGTTTTCTGATACTAACACTCATGAACGACCACTTGAAAACAGAATCAGTCTCGGCCTCAGCGTCTGTACCTATGTGACCACACCATTCCCCGTGACCCCTGAGAACCTCACCTCGTCGTCATCGCCCTCGTCGTCTGCTGCCTCCTGTCGCGCTTTCTGCTGCTGCCGGCGGCGCTCCTGCTGTTCCTGCTGACGCTGCTGACGCTCCTGCTGCTCTTGCTGGCGCTTCTCCTCGGCCACTACCGCCTGGGACCGGCCGGCCGACTGACCGGGGGGAGGGGATCACAGGTCAGCGCACTGATAAACAGCAGAGTTCAGAGTGACGGAGCAGTACAAAGCATGGAGCTGTTGAATCCATAGGTGCATTCATAACTAAGTCTGCAAAATGCAGAATCTGTTCAGAAACACCAACAACTTCCACCTAGAGTGTCGTGTATGATGATTATGTCTATCATCATGAAACCCATAGTCTGAGTACAGCGATGTTCCTTACCTGAAGGATCGCCATTCGAGCCTCCCTTTCCTCATCATCCTGGTCCTTGTACTTCTCCTTGGCGCGCTTCATCTTGGAGCGCTTGCCGCGCGGCTGCGGCGGCGGCGCGCAGTTCTGCTTCTTCTCCTTGCCGACAGGTGGCGGGCCGGTCGGCTTCTTGCCGCCGCGCCGTGCGGCGGCCGGTTTGGGCCCGGGCAGCTTCGGGAACGGGTTGTCGGCAGGGCGGGAGTCGGTGGGGGAGGTTACCTCCACCGTGAATCTGTCGATGGAAAACACTGTTAGTGGGGTTCAGCGGAGACAAAAGGTCCGGCCGCAACCGTTCGATCATATAGCATGAAAATATGCCCGAAGGTTGCATACATGAAACATAGAAACCAAATTGATAGGGCATGTGAATTGTGCATGTTATTCAGTATTGTTTACAACTTACTTGCTGCCTTTGAGATGCTTCACTTCCACGTTCGTGTCAGGGAACTCATTGTCTTCCTCACTCTCTCCCTTGTCATCTTCATCCCCCGAATCCTTCTCTTCCTCCTTTGAGCCCGTCGTCTCTTCCTTTTCCTCCTCTTCAGAATCGTCCTTCTTCTCTTCCTTCTCATCCTCAGAATCCTTCTCCCCGGCGTCCTCCTTCTCATCCTCTCCGTCCTGTGAGGACGCCGCTCCGTCCTCCCGCGCTCCATCCTCGTCCCCGACTGGTGAGGACGGCTCCTCGGCGGCTGGTGTGGGTCGAGGACCGTCCTCCGCGTCTACCGTCCTCACCCGCCGCTCCCCGCGGTGCCTGGAGGTGGAAAACGTAGAACGTCAGATGAAGTGACTGGTGTGAATTGTCTGACATAATGATAGCTACACTAGAGATGAGACAGGAATAGGTACGCCATGATGTCTTTTGAAGCAGTGAAATCAAAAGTTGAATTATCTGATGTGCGAGCAGAAGTAAGCAACTGAATGTGCAGCTAATCATATGCACTGGTGCTTACCAATATCAATCCAAACAGATTCAAACCACCTCAGAAACAAAACGTATAACTAAATCAAAATCAGCAAGCGACCCATTCGCCACAGCCAATATTGCCGTAACAACCCTGACCAGTGACCAGACAGACTGACAGTACCTCCACTCTTTTCCAAGCACCCATTTAACGCTCACCTGAGCTTGAAATGCATAATAGTTCCTCATCCTCGCTCTCCCCGCCCCACCCACCTCTCTATCGAGCTCTCCTCCAGTTTGAACAGCACTGCAAATCCGAGCGTAAGCTGACAGGGCGGCAGGTAGTTCTTCTTGCCGCGCACCATGAAGCTACCGGTGGTTAAGTACTCGCCAGTCGGCGCCGTCTTGGACACCTGGTGGGCGTGCACCCACCAGGCGGAGGTGACGATCTTAGCGTCCCAGGCCGAGCTGGAACAGACGAGGACGGGTGGCGGGGACTGGGTGAGAGACAGCTCTGGAATCGACATCGTTATTGCTGAACGTCACAATAATATATAGCCAATAATGTTGGTAGAAAATAACGATTTGTTAGGTATGTGACTATTCGATCGAAAAAAAAAAACAACTAAAGAACGTCCCCCTTGCATAAGCTATTATACCCCCCCCCCCCTGGGAATGCTTAAAAACGCTGATACCATCACGTACGTATCATACTTAGCATTCTTCGATGTTTGCATGAAACACTGTCCTAGCTAGACTGCCCAGCACGCACACATTTCCCTTCGCTACAACTTCCCACCGCCAGCCATTCACAGCTGCGCCTATCTTGTCTTTTCACTCAAACTTCGCATGGCCTCATATTTCATCTCAAATTTCACTCAGAATCAATCACAAACCCTAACCAATCACCCGACTCCTCAACCCATCACCCACTCCCTAGCCCCGTCCACTCACCTGTTACAGACAGCGAACGATCCGGCCTCGTTCAGTGTTTTCGGCGGTACCTCTGCGCCGGTGGGGTTTTTCACCACGAGCGAGGCTGCACCGTGCAGGTCACCGTGCACGTAAATGTCGCCCGGCTTCAGGTAGCGTCGTACCAGGATCTCGTTCTGCTGCTGATCCCGTCCTCCCAGCACTGCCCGGCATGAGAAATGAGCGTTGACTTGTTGGAAAGCACATTTTTGATGGGCAGTGGAAAGGATCTACAGCTGCAGCTGTAGAATCTGCAGTGTGCATGGAAACCAAGCGTAAAAACAATGAAGACCCTATGCTGAAAAAAAAAAACGGAGGCAATATTGATGTTTCCAATACATGAGCACTAAAATATAATAAGACCAATAACATATTTAATCGCCAAAGAAAAACGACCTGTGCCGGCAAAGTCCATTAGAAATGGCACGCTTGTCAGTGTTAATGTCCGTAAGGATTTAACCATGCAGCTCAGAACAGCTACATCCGTTCTTAAAATACCGAGTAATCCACAAAAAGTAGGTTTCCACAATGATTAAAAAGCACAAAAACACACCCGTCTGCTATAACTAATGTCCAAATTGGCATCGGTGCCGATCTATAACTGTTAGCAAACCTTAGCTTCCGTCCCTCCATCCCAGGATTTCCCAAAATACCATCCCCTGCCTGTGTTACACCTCTTACCAAGGTAGTTTTCCGACGATATGAACCAGAGGAACCTCTCGAACCAGTGCACGCGACGCGCCTTGTTGATGCTGGCGATGGTGGCCGCCTCCTTCAGGGTCTGCTTGGTCTTCTGCTCCGCAGACTTCATGGCCTTGAACGAAGACTCAATGGTCTTCTGCTGCTTCTTGGCCGCTGTCCGCTTCTGGCCAAAGTACCTGCGTCAGGCCGGGAGGGTCAGAACTCAGAAGTAAGGAACAGAGGGGTGGACATAACATGTGCGTCCTTACTAGGAAATTATCCGTCAGTTTTTTTTTCTTTTTTTTTGCTAAAAAATGACAGGAATTTCAAAAATGTCACAAAACTATCTGGCAGCAGCCAAAAAAGAAAAGAAAAAATATGAACAACGTTCGCACAGTCCCATCCTCCCCTTCTTCAATTAGCGGGTGCGGCGTAGCCGATTCTGACCCAGTCTCCGAAGCGTCGTCCCTAGCTCCGCCCCGGAGTTGTCCCTAGGCCCTGACCCCGCCCCGAGACGGGCGTCCCTGACCCCTGACGCCCTTTTCAGTCCTGACCTGGTGGCGTTGGCCAGCGCCGACAGGTCCAGGTCTATGTCGACCAGCATCGGTCGGATGTGGGACGACTGGTCGGCCTTCTCGGCCGGAGGAGCCGCGTCCTCCCGGCCGTCCTCACTGCCGTCCTCATCGTCCTCGTCGGACTCCTCCTGGTACGGGTCGCTGTGGATGGTATGGAGGGGTAGGAGTGGGGTGGCGCCTTAGGGGTTGAATGAAGACATTGATGACACATAACAATAAATAAGTCACGGTAAAGAAATCGGTTGGCAATATAGCTAGTAGATTTGTCAATGTAATTGGACTACCAGCTCACATCATTCTGACTTACTGCAGAAGCATGGTGATGTGGTTCGTCTCCAGCTTCAGGGCCTTGATGGAGCGCGCCACGGGGTCCCCGCGCTTCTGCGCCTCCTGTACGATCCGACCAATTTCGCGCCAGTCAATCTGATTGGCCAGGGCGGAGCGCACCACCAGTGCCGCGCCGTCCACTAGCTGTGCATTGCTGGTGATGAGCTCTGCGCGCCATCTGTCGTCGCGCTGGGCAAGCTCGAGTGCCTCCAGCCGCCGCTGGTGGTCGCGGCGCACGTTATCCAGCTTCTTCAGTGCCTCCCGCTCCTGAAACGGCGTCAGATGCCATAAATTGCCACGAACTTTCAAGTACAAATAGGAATGGCCCGAGCACAGATCCTTGGGGGACACCACTAAATGTGGATTACAACGTCATGAATGAGCTACGGGCTCCACTCGAATTCTACAGTTCCCCGGGGCACTATTGTATTTTACAAACTGACGCACGGCAACTGTGGGCCTTATCTAGCCCTAAAAATCGATAAAACGTTATAAAAACCATAACCAAATCAAAGCGTATCACAATTATGCTAAAAATGATCATATTTATCAGAATTAGAATCCCTCCTTCCACACACCACACCGCAGCCCAGCCTCCAAACTCTCTCCTTTACCAACACCATCTCTTCCGCTTCTCTAACCTGCTGAACTGCCTTCATGTCGAGTTTCTGGCTCTCCAGCTTGCTGAAGAACTCATCGACCGCCGCCGTGAAGCTGAGGAAGGTGTGGTGGGGCTGGTCGGCGTGTTGCGCGTACAGCAGCGGGTGGAACTCCTGGTAGGTGACCATCTCCGTGTCTCCGCCGGCGCCGGAGCCGCCCTTCTGGCCGCCCTTCTGACCGCCGGCCGAGCGCCGTTCCACGCGGTAGGTGACGATACCCTGAACGGGAGGGGGTGGTGGTTAAAAGTTGCACTTTTCGGAATGTCGGCTTTTAAAAGAATATGATAAGTGCAAGACACTGTCTCATACGATCCTTCAAAATGATATCAATAGACAGAGGGCAATAAAGCATATGCCTCAACTTTCACCATAAAAAAAAATCAAAATTTAGGAGCCATAGTCGGTACAGCCTACATACGTCCTACAGACCATTCCAACCTCAATCCGACCATCCAAACGACGCCCACCTTGAAGTCTTGCTGTTCGTTTCTGAGGACCGCCTCCCCGGCGCGGATGGCTCCCACCAGTCGATGCATGTCCTCCTCAATATGGAACTCGTGTCCGAGCCGCGCCTGCGCCGGAAAACCCGCTTCCAGCAGGAGATGTTCGATCAGCGCGGCGCCAAAGTCTGCCGGCGGTATGGTGTGTCAGTTTCAGGATTAATTCTCTTTTCCATTTCAATCCATATACGAAAGTGGCGGAAAAAATAAATGGTGTGGAGAAAGAAACCTGTCAGGAGTGAAAGGAGCAATTACATGGAAGAGGGTCGGGAACCGTGAAAAGGCGAGAAATTGGAATCGGGACATAGGACAGTGAGGATGGGTACATGATGAGGATTAAATGACTAACCTTTCAGCCAGAGTGGTCACTTCAACAGATAACACAACGTCGGACGCATTTGAAACAGCGAAAAAAAATCCAAACAAATCGAGTTCGTAAGCATCGAATTTATCTTTAACCCGCAAGTAGCAAACATCAGCAACCACAAACCCAGTCCCGAGTGCCGCTCCTTACCCAGATGAGGGTTGATGATCTTTTTGAGCACGTCCCCCTCCTTGGCAACGGACAGTACCTCCCGCAGCTGCTGCTCCGAGCGGGTCTCGTACAGACGCGCCTTGTCCAGCGGGTAGTTCTCCTTTGAGGCGAACCTGGGGCCGTAGCGGAGGGAGAAAGGAGAGATGGGTGAGTAAAAATGAACAGAACAGCGCTGTTAGCTTGTGCTAAAGTACGATTCAATGTTTCCTGGACAGGGGCCGTGTGTTTCCCGTTAGACATCAGTGTCAAACTTGCAGGAAACCTCTCTAATGCAAGTGACGTAAAATTTGACCAGCACAGAAACATAAAAATCAGAGGGCTGTTCATGGGCCCCTGTGTGCGGTCGGACCGTACACAGACTCTAAGCTCCGCCCACTGCGTCCCTACGTCATCCTTCCGTCACCGCACACAGCGACCGCTGTGGTCGGTCGGGACCGGCCACAGGGAACCGTCCACCGCACGCAGCCGTGACGTCAGAACCGCCTACCCATCCCCTACCCCCACGCCTGCTGGACGCACCGCACACACCGCACTCAGCAGTTTGCGGTGCCCGTGAACACCCCTGAGCATGACATTTTAACATCAAAAAGGACTTTTGTAATATATAACAAAGAGAAACCGCACAACACGCTCTCAAATACACCTGGTTAACACTCTCAAATCAGTTTCTCTTTCACTATTTTCCTCCCCTACTTCTCACCTGACGCTCTCGGCATCGGTGCGCGGCCGCAGGATATTGAGGATCGTGTACTGGTGGTCTGTCAGCACCAGGTTGCCCCTGTCGTACAGCTCGAGGATGACGTGGTGGGCCACCTCTCCCGAGCCGAACTGCAGGTCCACCACCCGGTCCACCCCCAGCTGGCGGATCGACTCCAGACGCTTGTTGCGGATGTGCTTCCTCAGCTGTGTAACGGAGAGCGGGGGCGGGGTTATATGACGGCACGGGCCACAGCGAACCTTGGTCTCTGTAGGAATATCTTATGGTAAACGGTCACGGTGGACATTTTTTCCGAGATTCTCCTTCAAAGTGTGGCAATACATTACACCAGGAGTGTAAATAAACAGTTCCACAATTAAGGTCGACACATAAAACATAACACAACCATTATACTACAGAGCAGGTAACTAAGGCAATGCTGCTCATAAACAGATGCCAATCAAATTACTCCCACGCCCCTTTCGCCCTCCTGTTTCCCAGGCCCACATCAAAATATGGCCCATTTATCGAACAAGTCGCGACACCTGCCGCCGATACCTCACCTTCATCGAGAATCCGGACGGCGCCGGGTTCTTGGGCCACTCGTACTCTGTGGCGTGAATGCGAGCGCCAGACTCGAGCAGCAGCACCGCCTTCTGCTCGGGCCGCTGCAGCTTGAACAGGTACGTCTTGTGGTCGGTGTCGTACACCTGTACCACGCGCATACCGGCCAGCCTGGGAAGCGGAGAGTGAAGGGTGACGTGGCGCAAGGACGGCAACAACTACGGACGCTTGAGCCCAACGAGGCTATGCGCCCTAACCCAACAAGTACCTACATACAAGTACAAGTAAGAATGAAGCGTGACGGTTGACAGTTTAGATGAATTACATGAATTGCATGAAAATAAAGAAATGCAAAATGAAGATGTCTATCTAAATAAAAAAATGTTTCAATGTTTTGAATGAACGGAACCAGAATTCAGGCTAGATAGAGCTTTTTCAAACGTCCCAACTCCCAACTCACTCTGTCTATTCAAGCATTTCAGGTTCAATCATGAGAATTTAGACGTCTAAGTTAAACATGCTCGTCAAATCTAGACATTTGTTGTTACCAATCACTAACAATGTGTCATGGGTCGTACAGAAGAAATATAGCTGTAAGGCACATGACATGACGAGCACTCACCGTTCATTTAGCTCGGCTACCATTGCAATGATATCGACGGTGGTGAACTTGGACTTCATTGTGATGGCGAGTCTTCACTCTGGAACATGACATTCACGTGGTAACTGTTATTTTGTATCATGCTGTAGATTATATAAAATAGATATTTGTTCAGGATTAAAATTAATATATGAAAATAAAACTTAACCCTCGCCCGTATCGCAGTTTGCCAGCCGCAAACATATAAGGAGGAGGGAGGGGTCCGTTGGACCCCCTTTGTCGTTTGGCCCCTGATCGAGCTAGACCTTTGCGGAAAAAAACGAGCGTGTTGCCCGTGACGAAAGGAAGCCGATACTATCAAATTTTAAGGTCCTAGGACATTGGTTGACCTTCCAGGTCAGGTTAATGACCCAAAAGTCGGGAAAATCCGGACCAGTAATGTGTCGCTGCTATGGAGTATTTTCGGGTGCTGATCACGGATATCATGTTAGTTTTGATCAGAGTTGATGTCTTTTAAGCATTTAGACCAGGTCGGGTCAGGGCAGGTCAGGTCAACTGGTAGGGGATGTGACGGCTATTCAAAATACGTGTCAACCGCCTCTGACAGCTTCGTAACATGTTACGAAGGCACCAAAACTACTTCTTAAATGTTCAAATGGTTGCTAAAATCGAAATCAGCTAAAAAACTAGCCTAGAAACATGTAATTGTAAAACTCGAAAAAGTGAACCGAGGTCACCAAAGGTCAATGACCTGACCTGACCTTCAGGTGACCTTGACACCCACACAAATGCATGGGAGCAACATCATAGCACATGTTTGAACGTGTGAAACTACGAAAAGACTGCGAACGCGCGGCTAATGCGAGCCGAAATACGCCGAATCGCGATTCCGGCCGAACATGCACTCGAAAAGTAGATCACAGGTCAAATGTCATTTGAGTCAGGGCTCAGGGTCATGACATTTTCAGGGTAGGTGTAAAATTGATCAACTCGAGGATACCTAGCGAAAGTTTCGTCACGATCGGCCACTTTTTACGCGAGTTTTTCGCCAAAAACCGAGGAAGGGGTTCGTTCGACCCCCTTCCCTCCCTATACGGACAAGGGTTAACTTACTTTAAAATTTATCTCTATCCCATTGAAACCACCTTATATTCCAGTTGTAAACCAACTCATTCATCATGACAAACCAGGACAAACATTTTCCGGTTTTTCCCTTCACAAACAAGTGTCCTTTGAGCAGTGAAGCGGGAACTGTTTTCTGACTGGGGAGGGGGCTGGGGGATGGTGCACACCTGATATTCCCCGGTAGGGTTTCACCAGCATATGGTAGCCCAAATCTAGTTTTCTCACTAGTTTTTGGCATTCAGTTTTCCAATTTTCTACCTACAAGATAAACAAAATTTTAAGTTACAGCTTATTCCATCTCAGCTGAGTCAAGTAACCACCTTTTTGGTAACCTGGTGGAACAAAGGTTTAACTACCTATACATACAATACATTCATTCAAGCAGAGTTTTTGTTTGTTTGTTTGCTTGCTTTTTTGATGACAGCTTTTAATAAGGACATACTAGAATGGTGAAAACACCTCAGCTGTGGTCAGCTCAACAATATGGATTAACTGATATGCAACATGAGCTTTTCCGGTCAGGACCTTGGCCTAAGATCAAATTTTCAAAATGACATTTCAAGGTCAAATTTCAGTTCATTTGATGAATCTTGATGAGATGAACAGAAAGCTGGCAATAGTTATAACGTGACTCTTGGGTGTCTTGGGCGTTCTGATTATTAAAGGAAAAAATATTTTATGTTAAAAAGGCTTTGTTAGACTTTTTGCCATCTAGAGGCTTAACTGTTATCTGAGGACGTTCGTATAATTGCATGCAGATTGATATCAATCCCGTACATGCAGATTCCGGACAATTTCAAATCGGCTCAAAATGGGCATATAGACCAAACAGGATACGCTGATCACGAATCCGAAGTCCGTTCCGCGGCACATATGAAACTTTTCCCGGAATTTCCGAATCCCGAATCTGCATGCGGATTCCGGACAATTTCAAATCGGCTCAAAATGGGCATATAGACCAAACAGGATACGCTGATCACGAATCCGAAGTCCGTTCCGCGGCACATATGAAACCTTTCCCGGAATTTCCGAATCCCGAATCTGCATGCGGATTCCGGACAATTTCAAATCGGCTCAAAATGGGCATGTAGACCAAACAGGATACGCTGATCACGAATCCGAAGTCCGTTCCGCGGCACATATGAAACTTTTCCCGGAATTTCCGAATTCCGAATCTGCATGCAGATTCCGGACAATTTCAAATCGGCTCAAAATGGGCATACAGACCAAACAGGATACGCTGATCACGAATCCGAAGTCCGTTCCGCGGCACATATGAAACTTTTCCCGGAATTTCCGAATCCCGAATCTGCATGCGGATTCCGGACAATTTCAAATCGGCTCAAAATGGGCATATAGACCAAACAGGATACGCTGATCACGAATCCGAAGTCCGTTCCGCGGCACATATGAAACTTTTCCCGGAATTTCCGAATCCCGAATCTACATGCGGATTCCGGACAATTTCAAATCGGCTCAAAATGGGCATATAGACCAAACAGGATACGCTGATCACGAATCCGAAGTCCGTTCCGCGGCACATATGAAACTTTTCCCGGAATTTCCGAATTCCGAATCTGCATGCGGATTCCGGACAATTTCAAATCGGCTCAAAATGGGCATATAGACCAAACAGGATACGCTGATCACGAATCCGAAGTCCGTTCCGCGGCACATATGAAACTTTTCCCGGAATTTCCGAATTCTGAATCTGCATGCGGATTCCGGACAATTTCAAATCGGCTCAAAATGGGCATATAGACCAAACAGGATACGCTGATCACGAATCCGAAGTCCGTTCCGCGGCACATATGAAACTTTTCCCGGAATTTCCGAATTCCGAATCTGCATGCGGATTCCGGACAATTTCAAATCGGCTCAAAATGGGCATATAGACCAAACAGGATACGCTGATCACGAATCCCAAGTCCGTTCCGCGGCACATATGAAACTTTTCCCGGAATTTCCGAATTCTGAATCAGCATGCGGATTCCGGACAATTTCAAATCGGCTCAAAATGGGCATATAGACTAAACAGGATACGCTGATCACGAATCCGAAGTCCGTTCCGCGGCACATATGAAACTTTTCCCGGAATTTCCGAATTCCGAATCTGCATGCAGATTCCGGACAATTTCAAATCGGCTCAAAATGGGCACATAGACCAAACAGGATACGCTGATCACGAATCCGAAGTCCGTTCCGCGGCACATATGAAACTTTTCCCGGAATTTCCGAATCCCGAATCTGCATGCGGATTCCGGACAATTTCAAATCGGCTCAAAATGGGCATATAGACCAAACAGGATACGCTGATCACGAATCCGAAGTCCGTTCCGCGGCACATATGAAACTTTTCCCGGAATTTCCGAATCCCGAATCTGCATGCGGATTCCGGACAATTTCAAATCGGCTCAAAATGGGCATATAGACCAAACAGGATACGCTGATCACGAATCCGAAGTCCGTTCCGCGGCACATATGAAACTTTTCCCGGAATTTCCGAATTCCGAATCTGCATGCAGATTCCGGACAATTTCAAATCGGCTCAAAATGGGCATATAGACCAAACAGGATACGCTGATCACGCATCCGAAGTCCGTTCCGCAGCACATATGAAACTTTTCCCGGAATTTCCGAATTCCGAATCTGCATGCGGATTCCGGACAATTTCAAATCGGCTCAAAATGGGCATATAGACCAAACAGGATACGCTGATCACGAATCCGAAGTCCGTTCCGCGGCACATATGAAACTTTTCCCGGAAATTCCGAATTCCGAATCTGCATGCAGATTCCGGACAATTTCAAATCGGCTCAAAATGGGCATATAGACCAAACAGGATACGCTGATCACGAATCCGAAGTCCGTTCCGCGGCACATATGAAACTTTTCCCGGAATTTCTGAATCCCGAATCTGCATGCGGATTCCGGACAATTTCAAATCGGCTCAAAATGGGCATATAGACCAAACAGGATACGCTGATCACGAATCCGAAGTCCGTTCCGCGGCACATATGAGAAACTTTTCCCGGAATTTCCGAATTCCGAATCTGCATGCGGATTCCGGACAATTTCAAATCGGCTCAAAATGGGCAAAATGGGCAAAATGGGCAAAATGAGCCGATTTGAAATTGTCCGGAATCCGCATGCAGATTCAGAATTCGGAAATTCCGGGAAAAGTTTCATATGTGCCGCGGAACGGACTTCGGATTCGTGATCAGCGTATCCTGTTTGGTCTATATGCCCATTTTGAGCCGATTTGAAATTGTCCGGAATCTGCATGCAGATTCGGAATTCGGAAATTCCGGGAAAAGTTTCATATGTGCCGCGGAACGGACTTCGGATTCGTGATCAGCGTATCCTGTTTGGTCTACATGCCCATTTTGAGCCGATTTGAAATTGTCCGGAATCTGCATGCAGATTCGGAATTCGGAAATTCCGGGAAAAGTTTCATATGTGCCGCGGAACGGACTTCGGATTCGTGATCAGCGTATCCTGTTTGGTCTACATGCCCATTTTGAGCCGATTTGAAATTGTCCGGAATCCGCATGCAGATTCGGGATTCGGAAATTCCGGGAAAAGTTTCATATGTGCCGCGGAACGGACTTCGGATTCGTGATCAGCGTATCCTGTTTGGTCTATATGCCCATTTTGAGCCGATTTGAAATTGTCCGGAATCTGCATGCAGATTCGGAATTCGGAAATTCCGGGAAAAGTTTCATATGTGCCGCGGAACGGACTTCGGATTCGTGATCAGCGTATCCTGTTTGGTCTATATGCCCATTTTGAGCCGATTTGAAATTGTCCGGAATCCGCATGCAGATTCGGGATTCGGAAATTCCGGGAAAAGTTTCATATGTGCCGCGGAACGGACTTCGGATTCGTGATCAGCGTATCCTGTTTGGTCTATATGCCCATTTTGAGCCGATTTGAAATTGTCCGGAATCTGCATGCAGATTCGGAATTCGGAAA